TCTGAAGCTGGGCTGACATCCAAACCAAAGGTTTTTACATTAATGGTTCAGAGTGTTAGTTTATTCTTTTGTCTTCATGATTCCGAGGTGTGAACTCAGAGAGTTGAGGTCAGAAGGTGTTCCCCAACCATTAACCTGGGCTATGTGGAAATCACAAGAGTCAGCCACTTTTTCGGTGCTGGTTGGATAGACAAAGAGATGTGCTGAGGTGAAAAGTACAAGTTTCACAATTCATTCAATTGTCCATTCACCATGCACCAGAAACATCGCATGACTTGACCATGCCACATTTCTCTCACAAACAGACAGTACGTGCTAGTAGATACGCATGCTCCAGCCTCCCGCCAATCGAAGGGTATCCTTGGCAACAGAAAGCCACGCAAACGCAAGCAGCGGTGAGACCTGTGGACACTTCAATGGTTTGAACAGTCGAGGAGAGTAAAGGTCTTGGGGGCGCTTGTACCCCTGAAGATGGCGGAAACTATTTTCCTCCGAGCGATCCTGAGAACAAAAATAGTCAAATTTCCACATCCTGCATCCGTGCATCTCCTTTGGCATCGGGACGTGCCAGGTCTCCTGCGAAGCGGAAAACACCCGCGTTCTCTATATGGACTGTCAGTCCAAGGTTGTTCGACGAGAGTCCCCCCCAAAGACCGATGGAAGCTGATGGAATCGGGCATCCAGCCACCCTGGCTCTTTCAGTCCTTGAAGCGAGGCTCGAATAGTCCTACTGGCGCGTCTTGAATATGAACAGCTACGGCTACGGCAAGTCTGATCAAATTCACGCCATGAGGCTTCAACTGAGTTTGCATCACTGTGCGCTTCGACCTTGGCATGAAGCCTGGTCTCCCTGGATGGATGTATGTTCATCAAAACCTGGACGGAATAAAGGTGGACTTGCATGTGCTTCCTGGGAGATTCGCTCAACTTCAGACGTCTTTTCTCCAGCCCCTTGACAGCGGAGGATTCTCTCAGGTCCAGCAGTCATGAGGTGCAACCATTGACAACCAGAGTTTCCAGAAATCCTCGACATCTTCCTGTTGCGCAGTCGAAACATCCTGAGCTCTACCACTGCGGACCTGAGGGTGAATCTGAGATCAAACCCGAATGGGCATGCACTTCCCCACGCGAAGCCCATTTGCATCTTCCTCAAGGAACTCATGCGCCACATCACCGTCCACATCCTCGAAGAGCATCCCTGAGCAACAAAAATGACCAGAAAACAAGAAAACGGACCAGATCGGACAAGCATGTTCAAGATCTTATAAGATTACAAGCTGAATGTCACAACCCATGATTACATTTTCAAATGACTACTAGCTACTAGCTCAAATTCAACCGACTGCAACACCTGTTTGCTAGCGCCAAGAGCCTGCTTGTTCCAGAAGACTGTGCACTTTGTTCTCCTCTCACACAGTTCGTGTCATAGAAGCAAACAAACTTGGAATTTGTTGGAATATCAGTTGTATAGAATATATCATCAAGCAGTGTTCATAAAGCTCGAGGTCTCTGTTGGGGTCTTTGACCGAGACAGCAAGTATTAGTCTGATTTGCTTGTCCCAACAAGTGCCCTGGACATGTCGAAACCTCCGGAACAAGGCGAGGAGCAAGCGTAGCTTCATCGCAACATCGTGCTTTGTTGAAATACTACGCAAGTTGATGGGTGGATTCGCACTCTCTCAACATCTTGGTTTAGGAGTCTAGATTAAATCTCTGGACAAAATCAGTCACGAGTTCGATGCATAGCTGGCAAATGAACGGGATTCGAGAAAGATTCCTCTTCTCTGCACCACCCACGGCCAGTCCTGTGGGCAGTAAACGATGATCTGCGGCGCCTCTTGGTGCCTGGACCTTGGCAATTTGATCAATGGAATAGCAAGCCATGGACTCCTACGACATTTGGGATGCGAAGGCTCGCAGAAAACAAAACAGAATCGGAGCCTGGTGAACAAATGATCTATCATTGCTGGACTGGTGGACTAAGGAAAGGCAATCGACAGCTCGGTCATTTGTTGAGCAGATTGGCCATGGAATGTTTTATGTTGACTGGCTTGGTGATAACTAGCAATAACAGAGTCACGCAGCTAGCCCAGGAAAGCACTGAAACAAATCAGAATGACTCAGAATGACATGTTCCTCCTTGGTGCTTGTTTTGGATGAGGTCCATGCCTCTCCTGCTCCGAAGATCTCCGCGCTGCTTTGAGATCCCTGAGCCAACACGAACGATGCAACAACTCTGAAGAACGTGCTTTCCAAGCCCGCAGGGCCACCTTGACTATATAGAGTGGATAAATGATTCAATCAATCAGTTGGTATGTTCTTTTCATGTCAGGAAAGGCAATGAAAGTGAAAAGGCAGAACTGCAAACAAAATCTGGCACTATCACCTCCTTTCTTCAATGATCAACCCCAAACCACAAACACCGCCAACTCCCAGACAGGCATGGCACAAAAAGAGGTACACCCCAAATCTGTTAAGGAAAAGTACAACCTAAAGGCCTAAAAAGGCCTAAAGAGGCCTAAAGGCTGTTATATTCTTGAGCCATCCCCAAATACCCAGATGTCGTGGCCTCAAATCCTGAGCCGTCCTTGGAGGCGGCAGCTTTGCCTCTGGCGCCGTTGCTGTCGTCTGCGGCGTCCGTGGCGTCTCCTCTGGGAATGCTTCAGCGTGGCTGCGCTTCGCAGGGAAACGGAAGAAGACGGTGATGGCCTCCAAAGCACCGCAGACTTCCCGGGTCTGGAGAATTCTTGGTCCATAAGAATGCAGACAGTTCAATGGTGCAAAAACAGTGAGATGCAAGAAACAGCCAAATCTTTCTGTCCAGCTGCTTTCCTCTGATTGCTCTACATTGATCCACGTTCATTCATCCAATCTCCTTGCCCTAGTTTCTCCAAGACACGGTGAGGTTCTGCTCACTGCCACGATTGTAAGCATCTTGCCTTGGTACAAAGAGCCAGTTTAGGGGTGTGCAAAAAAATGCTTCTATCGGCTTCTTCCCTCTCACGGCATTGGCTTCTCATTTCACTTGATCAATGCATGCTCATCCCGCCCCAACGCTTGGTACAACCTGGATCGTGCGTACGACTTTGCTCGGTCGTTGGATGCCTGTTCAGAAAATGAACATCTTGCCAAATAGCACGACACGGGCTACAAATCTACTCCAGGTAGCGTAAGCCGCCCTGGCGCGCCCTTCTCTTGTCCAGGCATGCTCTTGAGAAGCACATCTATGTCCTCACGACACTCGGCAGGCTGTAGCTACAAGACTCTACAAGCTTGGCAGGCCCTAGCGGCTCAAATGTACGACGATAAGAGACGTAGCCAAGCAAATGGCACGACGACGTCTGACAATTTTGTCTTTGCTCCTCAGGGCTCATGACCTCCGCAATGCCATCACCTCTGAGACGATGGCTTTGCAAGTCACAGTCGCAATGAAAGACAAGGATTTGAAGGCGTGCAACTAGGCCCCCCAGCAGTATAGTGTGAAGGCGCGATGATTTGGCTCCAAGGGCAGGACGTGCACCTGGGGCTGCAACATATCAAGACAAATGTTTGAAAAGAGGTTCACAAGTTTTCTATTCTAGCAAAATGCCGAGACTGTCACTGCTTAAACATTGGCAGCAAAATGGCCCTGCCTCTGGCTTCACACTCACGATAGGCTTCAGCTCTCGATCACCTAGCCTCATGGACCACACCAAGTCTTGCATCCCCACGAACCATCACCGGTGGACCAGTCAAATATCCCGTTTTTGTCTTTGGTGTCTCTACAGTCGCTGCATAGAAGCTACTAGTAACTAGTGCATCGCTACCAGTAGCAAGGGCATTACTATGAGTAGCTTCTAGCTACTAGTAGCATAGTAGCGATGCCCGTGTTACTAGATGTTGTTGTTCAATATTGTTCACCCCCTTGGACCAGGTTTCCGGAGGGCACCACAAGACGCCGTGGGTTTTGAGCATCGACTGCTGAAGCATTTCGACTGCCGTTGATCCAAGCAGGCTCACCCCCTCCACCCAGTCTCGGTGTCATTTTCCACTGAGTGGCGCTCGTGGAAAGGGTGAAGTCATTGGAGGTGTCAAGGTGCAACCAAGACCCGAGGCCAGTTGGATTCGATACTCCTCTGCAAGGCCGAATGGACTCAGTGGTCGAAGAGCCAAAATTGGTATCAGTGAGTCTGCATGTGTGTAGTGTTCCAACATTCTTTCTGTGCGCAAATCCCAGAGTGGACATTCCAATCAAACAAAGCTAAGAAAAGCCTTGAAACTGTCTATATAATCACCTGAGTCAGAATGTTCAATTGATTTCCTCCTGTTTGTACCTGAAACATCCGAAAAGGCATGACCCACCACGGATCATCCACGGACCCAAGGGTCACCGATTCACCGGCTTCTCCTTGAGCCGGTTCTCAAAGTTGGCCGAGGCCACCTTGGGGCCCGGGGGGCCAGAAACAGCCAGCGAAGCTGTTGTTGTTCCCAAGGAGTCGGGTGCCCTCTGGAAACGACTTCTGAAGAAAGGGGTTTCACACCAAGCGCAACAAGTTTGAACGTGCAGCAACTGCAGCACATCGGCACATTGATAGGTCGACCAAGCGACATGGTTGACACCAGGCGCCACCTCCAGGAGTTGTCCGCCAGCTTGACGAATGCGGTCCTCTTCAACATCCAGCTCACCAGCGGCGAAGACCCTGCAACCACCATCCCCTGAAATGCACAGCTGGCTGAGCTGGCTCTCTTTGCAAGCCCACATTGACAAAGATATGGTTGACTCAATGGTTGACTGTATCTAAGCCCAGATGGATATGGTTCAAGAAAGTAAAACCATTAAACCTGGGTTTTGCAAATTTGGCCTTTCACAAATGGGATTGGATACATTGGATACCCTATTTCTGAACCATCTTTAATCACTTCGACTTACTCCTGCTTATTGCAAAAAAATAACCATGGGTGCACTTCAGAGAAACTGAAATCGTAGCGCTGCGCCTCGGTTTTTCAGGCCCATTCAGGATTCACCTGCTAAATCGATTGTCCGACTGGAAGGCCCCGTTCCATGCGCGGCCTTCACTAAGCATAGCACCACCCGACCCCAGCTGCACCAGATAGAGTTTGCGTCCAACTAGCAACGCCAGCTGTGCACAGCATCCAGAACGATCCTTGGTGTCAAAATTGACGAAAATACTCACAAGTTCGGCTCAAACAAGGACAAAAAAGAAACAGCTGAGGTCGGAATATTTTGCTCTGGTATTCACACATCGACGATCTAACCTAAGAAGGGAGGGGACGAAAGCCAGCCTCTGAAGAAGACATCAATATGGTCATAGGGGGTTAATGCAAGAGCCCGCTGGAAGCGCTGTGAGGCATGGGAAAATAGAAGGCAAAGGCAGGAAGCCTCTCAGTCACAGGTGGGGGGGGTGGGCTGCCCTTTTTCTTTTGGTTGAAGGGGCGTTTTGAAGACAGAAAAGAGACCCCTAAGTAATCGGGGGCACTTGCCGGCGGTTTGTTTCTCGTGTCTTGTAGACGGACTCATAAACTCGGCGTGCTGCTAAGAATGGATCGATGATCATGTGCTGGTCCAACATGGGGGAAAGATCGCCGTTGTTATGGGGTGCAGTCGATATTGCAGTGACGTGCACTGCTGTTGGAGTTAGACAGCAGAAGACATAGGTGGGGGGCCTTTGCCCTTTGGTTCAAAGGCGTTTTCAAGGTGAAAAAGGGACCTCAAAGGAATTACAGGCGCTTGCCTGCTGTATGTTATTTTTGTCTTGTAGATGGACCCATATACTGGGCGTGCTGCCAAGAGTGGACCGATGCTAAAGCCAAGATCAAGTGATTGTCCAACATCGGGTAAAGGGTAGCCTTGTTATGGGGTGAAGCTGACATTGCAGCAACGCCGACGGGTGGTGGGCGGCGGGGGTGCCCTTTTTCCTCCTGCTTCAAGGGCGTTTTCAGGCTGAAAAAGGGCACCCCCAAGGAACTGGTTTGCCTGCTGTTCGTTATTCGTGTCTTGTAGGCAGAAACTCGGCGTGCTGCCAAGTGCGGATCGATGGAAGTCTACCGCGAAGATCACGCGATTGCCTAACATGAAGGAAAGATTGCTGTGGAGATCTCATCGCCTAGGCTATCGGATGTTCATCTTTTGCAGCGCATCCCTGACTTTCTCGCTGCGCTGCTTTAAGTTTTTTTTCTGCGGTACGATTCACTGACCAGCCCGTCACGTGTGCAACGGGGTCCCTGGACGTATACTTCGCTAATCCGAATCACTTGGCAGGCCGTCCAAGGGCAACTGCATGCAAAGATGCAGTAGAGCAAGACTTCCTGAACTTTTCAAGAACTCTACTCTCAAACATGTTTATTCTTCACGATCTCTTTCAATACCATTTCCGCCCTTGGATTCGGCTTCAAGGCTACGTGGCTTAGCAATTGAACGCGATCCTCCTCCAGTCAGTGATAGGTACTGACTGATGCGAAGCTGCAAAACAAACAAGCTCCATCGACTCGGATCGGAACACAATGTGTCAGATGGAAACGTTCTCTCTACTCCGCTTACCCACGCTTCTCGCTTGCCTGCTGAGCTCCACACATCTTCTCCTATCACGTCCTCCCCCAATTTTGCTTGTCCTCCACATGAATTCCCACCCCATATGGGGCGCCCTTTTGCGTCCGGTCAACAGACCTCGTCACCTTAAAAAGGTCACCCCGCAAGCAACTCAACACTTGCCCAGCGCATTCTGTTCCCTCTCCTGTCCTCAAGGCCACGTCGTTTGTTGCAGTCCCTTCCACTCATGTTGGCCACAAGAAAACAAAGCGTTGGGAGATGCACATCCCACTTTCCTGAAAGAGTTCCAACCACTTTTCACGTCTCAACATGAACTCCCACTCCTGGTCGAAGACTGTTTGAATAGCCTCCAGAGCCCCTCATGATGCTAATGATGCACTCCTCGGCGTCAACTACATCACTTGACATTTTCAATTCTCACTCCTTTTCGGGCCGCTGCTCTCCCCCACCAAGCTCTGGGCTCGCCCTACCAGTCTTCACCGGCGACGCTGTGACACTGCGACGCTGCGACGCTGCGAGGGCCCGGCTTGCGTCAGACCAGACCTCGATCCTACATCCTTTCAGGGGATGCCGATCTAGCTGCCTGCCTCAAACTCATGTGCTTCGCTGCGGTCCGGACTCTATTGTGAACAGTTACATGATTTTTTGGGGGGTGTCGACAAGTCTGACTGAGAGTGGTACACTAAGATTGCAACATGCAAAACTTCATCTGTGTGATTCCATCCGAGTATAGCATTGATGATGACAAAAAATTTGGGTGCCCACCTCTGTGAACTAATGACGATGGCCATCGGAACTCAACAAATCAGGCTTTTGAAATGACAAGTGAGAGTCTGGATTTCGAGACCTTAGCGCATATAAGCTTGGAAAATCGCTACTAACAAGGTAAGACACTGTCGGCGCCCGAGGACTGCGCAGAACTGACATTCGCGAAAGACGCACCGCGTCTCCCACAGAAGATCACGCCGCATGAATAAGAGAGAGAGAGAGAGAGAGAAAAAAAATAAGACATTTGTTGGAACAGTGAAAGCAAGGACTGGCTAGGTGCCGGTGTTAAAATCTTTGTCTCTTATCGCCTAGCCTATCAATATAATTACTTGCTGATTCGGCCATTGACGCATCCAGGCGTGAAAGTTCCAAAGAAACTTCTCAGCGTCTCCGCTGGGAGAAAAATTTGTTGCTCCGGTTGGGTAGCCAACACACCGGCACAAACCAGCACCAATACCTGAAGAGTGGGTTTGGGGCGAGAAATGCTTGGGCGACGTCGTTCTGCATCTGTGAGCTGGGGTAACTGTGATCTTGCCTTGCGCTGTGCTGACTGCTATCTGCTCACTGTTGGCACGTGGAAAGGTTCTGGATTGAGAGGTGACTGCGTTGCCCAGTTCAGACGTCGATTGCATACACCGGCCCTTGTCGAGCAACATGGCCTTGACGTTGCAAGGATAGGCGGGCGTCTTCGGGTCTCCGTCGCTGACGCTGCGACGCTGCGACGTTACAACGCTGCCAGGGTCCAGCTCGCGTCTTCGCGTTATCGCGTCTTCGAAATGAAATTCTTGCACCTGCCCCGCACGCTCAATGCAAAGTTCTGTTCAAGTCATACGATCCGAATATGTCGAAGAGTCTGTTCGGAACTTAGTCAGGAACTCCTTGTCCAAATCGGCCAACGCCTCAACCAAACTCTCCCGAATCCTCAGTCTGCTTCTTGCCACTGCCAAACAGTAGCTCACAAAGTACAGTGGTCAAGCAGGGCAAAATCAAAATTAGGCAATGTCAAGCATCTGTTCCTCATTTCTAGCCTTCCCCAGACGCGGCAAGAGCTTCTTGTGGAAGTTCTGAGCAGCGAATTCCGAGCACCTTAGGGACGATCTCACAACCCTCTGCACGAATAAGTGACAAGTGACTTTAAGATTGAAAAAGTGGTTGAATTCGCTCGGGGCATTTCTTGCTGGCCACATGAGCATTGAAAAGTTGGACACCAGAGTCAGTTGAGTACAGGAGCTTTGTCCCGAAATGTCCGTCGTAGATGGAGAAAAGGGCCACTGGCTTTTCCTTGGACGCATGTCGCGATATGGGTTCATGCAATGACTGGATTGCAAAAGAGATATTGATTGATATATCCTGTTGGATTGGAAAACAAAAGTTCAGGATGATCCAAACAGCGAGAAAGTCTTGTTCAAAGCTGCATGTGTAGCTCTGAGTGGCCAGTGACAGGGGCATTTTCAGGGCTTTGGAGGCAGCAAGGAGGTCCTTGACCATCACCTGGCCAAGTCATTCAGAGTGTGATCAAGGGCTTTCGGAAAGCCCAGTTTGCTCCATCCATCAAATCCAAACGAATGCCCTGTGTGTTCCAAATTCAAATCCACGGGTTTGGGTCATTCTTGCTTGACCCCCAAAAAGGGCTACTCGGGTTGGGGAGGCTACAGACTTTAGACCCAAGTCAACAAGAAACATTGACTGCGTTCGAACGACGACTCCCACATCGCAACGACGACGTTCAGCGTGAGAAACACGCCACGTGGCCACACCAGCCACACCCTCCAATCCGCTTGGGTCCCAACATGCCGATCCAAATGACCCTCTTCACGACCTCCCGTCAGAACATCACTGAAACATCGCACCGAGTGGTCAGGGACTCATGAAGCTGCAATTCTTAAACAAGCCCAGCTAAATCTGCTACCCAGACATCTGAAAAAAGCTTTGTCTGCTTGCTTTGAAGCCTGTGTACACACAATGACTGGCCAGAGAGCTTTGTATCCATGTTGATTCGACCAGCCGTGAGCACGAAAGCAGCTCAGCTCAAATAAGCTGGGCTATGTGCATGATGGATGGATGTCAGTACTCTTGTCCCCTTGAGCTCTTGCCCCCCATCACCTTGCATGAAGCTGGCATCGCAAGCAAATTCCAAGACCTATCATGAGTCAGCCATAGACTCTCAAAGAGGTGGTGATACAAGCTTTCTGCAAAGATGATTATACAGTATCAGTATAATTGTGCGCTTTGCCATATTTACGTATCTTGTATGTAGCGCGTGGTGCAGTTGGGCGCTCAAATCAGCAACGAATGCTTCAATCAAGTGTTGTCTCTTGCAACAGCAAGTGATCGAGGCAAAACCTCTTTTGATTGTTGGTTCCACCAGCAACGTAAGGGGCTTGAATCACTTTGTATCCACATGCTCAGCACATCTCAGCACCCTTTCGTAACTGCATCATCCTCGCCTGCTTGTCGCCGACAAACTCGCCACTCTGGTTGGCAGCTTTGGCAACTTTGGCCGCTGGCACCACCGCAGCTCGCGCCTCTCCTTGGTATGCTTGTTAAGATGATGCCATTTGCGGTGAAACTAACTAAAATCAAACCGAAATCAAAAATCGAACCCACCTGCCGAATCGATTTAACATCATCCCCACGTGCTGCTGTGAGCGGCGATTTCTCCGGGCCTCCTCTGCAGCCTCCCCAGCCAGTTGCACCTCCTGGGCCAGCAATGCCGCTGCATGCTTCCCTGGCACCATGGAGGCACAGCAGAGGCCAACTGAGCAAAGACCTAGTGGCCAATAGCCAAGACCAAGTCTTCCAATCTATGAATGCTTCGATCAGAAGCTTGAAAACCATGGAGTGACCATGCAGGGGAACAACCAAAGGTCCATCTCTGACTATCTCTGCGAGTCCTACAGCAGTCCTCTTTATTCTTTTTGTGATTCACAGCGCTGTTGAGCACACCGTCAGAGAGCAAATTCACCTGAAGTTGAGTGAATGACCTTTGCAGTCGAACCCTACCCCTGTCAGTCCGCTTTTGGCAACCATCTTGGGCCCCTTCCCCACAGAGCCCAGCTTCTACCTGCACCTTTGCCACCGCCGACGCGCAGCTTGTCAGGCTCCTTGTGGGCAGATCTCGCGCGGCTGAGATTGCGGGAACAGTGACTGTGCAGCTTTTACTGCAGTGCGAACCTCCAAACAGTGTGTGTGCGTGTTCATGACTCACAAGAAACACACCAAAAAGCGAAACAAGAATTGCTGCCTCCCATTTGAAGGAGACCTCCGTCATCGCTCCAGCACGTTGAGTTCCAGCGCATTCAGCGATTGTCAAGAAACTTCAGCAGCTACAATTCTGCAGTGATTGGCAAAAACACAGCATTTGTTCCATGAAAGACGGCCACTAATGATGCGTCTTTCACTTTGAGGAAAGCTACATTGTAGTTGGCCTTTGAAGTGCTGATGCAGCTGCACTGGACAGCTCCAGCTGAAATAGGGTGCAGGATACATGCCTCGACCTGACCTCATGTTCTTTCGCCATGTGAAAACAGCTGTTGCGTGTATGTGCTCTACGCAGTGCTGCTTTGAGAGTACCAATAGTTCAAAAGCCTGCCAGCCAGTGTCATTGAGCATTTTCATGTAAAGCCCAAACTGCAGACAGAGCGGCGGGGAAGAGACGCATAGTTTGAACCCTCCCTGTCCTGTGCTCCACGATTCAAACAGGTCTGCTTTTGTACCAATTTCATCCACTTTCAGACTTTCAGGAACAAAAAATAGAACGGGTTGCGAGGGGTTCATTGTAGAAGCGAAAAAGCCCATTTCACAGTAGGACTGTGTCGACCTTGACAATTCCAGCTTGGCTTTACGCGAACATGTACTAAGAAGGGAAGTCAAGTTCCGTGCCACTCGAGGTGCGCCTCGCCATCCACGCCGCAGGCCTTGCACTCCCCGGCTCCCGCCAGGTCGCTGCCTCTGTCCGTCGAGTCACCGAGTCGTCTCTCCGGTCGCTGTGGTCGACACAAGTCGCTCGTGAAAGATCTTGTCAGCAGGCTATTGTACCAGATCTTGCAGGCTATGCGAAAGCTTGGTGCAGCCTGATTTGGAAAAGACCACGATGGCCACAACATGTTCTCTTGCATTTATTCTGCACTGGGCCCTTTGGGATCCTTTGAGACTCTATGATGGGCCTCAAACAACCAAAAACTAAGAGATGACGCCCATAATCGACGATATGACTTGAAGAGCGGCGTAAGTGTGAATAACAAAATCTCCCACCTCCAGCGCCAAAGCCTTCAAAAAGCTGCGTCCATGTGGCACCATGTCCCACCTGGCAACGTGGCCGGTCCTGGATTCGGTCCTTGACCAGTGGATGCTTCAAAAAATGTCGAAAAACCAAGAATATTCAATGACTGTGACATCTGAAGTTTAACCAGCCATGGAATAAGGTAAGGCATCCTGAGTCTTCCAACCGCCTGTCCACTAGAGTAGTTCCTGAGTAGTTGGCTCCATGCACTAAAGAATCTGACAGGACGTCAAATTTCAATTTATCCCAAAGGCATCTGACTGTTGACAAATACTGGAAGGACTCAGAGTTCATGTTCAACAAAAACGAGACAAGAACCTCGGATCATCTTCCACTGCCTTCCGAAACGGTCTTAATCAGGTCAAGTGCAATGCACCGCTAGGCTCTAGGCATTGTATTCTTCAATCCATCAAGGCCTAAATACCTTGAGTTCAATCATTCTGCTGTTGCCACCCGGCCTCCGGAACAGCATCCAGGGTTCTTCGAAGCGCACGCAAAAGGGGCAAGGTGGCCTGGAAACATGTTGCTCAACTGGAAGCATTTGAAAAGCATACAAATCATACAACAACGTCGAACCCACACAGCAAAATCTCACTTCCGACGGAGACCAAGGGTGAGCGAGCGAGCGAGTGAGCGAGCGAGCAAGCAAGCAAGCAAGCAAGCAAGCACGCACGCAAGCAAGCAAGCAAGCAAGCACGCAAGCACGCGGGCAGGCGGGCAGGCGGGCAGGGCAGTCACAGAGGACAAAGGAAAACAAGTCAAACTAAGACAAACAGCAAGACATTCATCACAGGACCACATTGAGGGACAATTTGGTCATATAGCTGAGAACTCAGCTGTTTCAGGGATCAAGGAATCAAGCGGGGGACACCGGTTGAAGACCAGCAACATCTCGCTCTTTGAAACAAATCATCTCTTCGTGGGGCCAATGGAAGACAAATTGAACAAAATCATCTCTTCGTCAAGATCGTTCTTCATGCAGAAATTGAGCGCCCTCACAGTTACACAGCTGCAGCTACGCTGTCTGAGAATGTAAAAGACCCGTGACCTGCAAAGCGTGAGCCGTGCTGAGAAAAGAGCCTCCAGTGGCACCAGCAGCTCTATCAGGTCCAAAGACTCCTGGAAGGTTCAGGAGAGCGTTATTTTTGAAGCCCGCCCTTACTATCTTTTTTTAAGTGGGTGCCTACTTAGTTAAGTAATTGAGGGAGTGAGCTCCTAGCGACGTAAGCTACTACCTACTGGAGGCAGGATAGCTCACGCACTAATGATTTGGTTCCCTAGATAACTCAATAAACACCTAAGCAAGTAGCTCACAGATGGACGCAAAGCGACCAAAACACAAACCCACTATGATTGCAAGCAGCCAGGTATCTTGTGATAGGAACACATTCTGTCCACAAAACTAATCCATTTCCATTGGAAACGTGCCAAGACCAGGCCCGTCCATTGATGTCTGAGTCTCAGAAAGTCCAAGGCCGTCCAAGGCCTTCCCAGGTGGACGGGCCAAGAGCATTAGCTGGCCTGGCCTGGCATGGATAAATGGTGAAGATGGGCTATCATTCATGACATCCAGGCACCGAAACAACATGCATCAAGGCGGCAAAGGTTGGAGATATCATTACTAGTAGATACCTGTCTATCACCGTCTATCACTCTGATCCCCGATCAACAGCCCCTTCATATCTCCAACGACCGGAGGCGCACAGACATGGCGCAGCTGGCAGGGGCGTTGCCTCACTAAGGAAGGCATCATCCAGCAGGGGTGTGTTTCTCCAGGCAGAGAGGACGGTCGAGTTCTCAAAAATTGTTTTTCGATTGTGACCCTGTGACCGGAGCCACCGGCTGTCCAAGTGTTTGAAGGGACACCGGGAACCTAAACCGGGAAACTAGAGGAGGAACACTCCAGTGACAAAGCAGCTCAGTTTCAAAACAAACACCCTGGCAAGCATCGCTGCCAAGCCTCAAGTTCAGGCCTTTCCATTGCGCAAGCCATACTTCGCAAAGTGAGGGTGCAGCTTCTGGGGGCAAGTGCAAGTGGGAACTTGGATCTTCAAGCCCAAGGCCGCCAAGCACCATTCACCAAGCTTTGGCTTGACTTGTTGAGTGATAAGTGTCCTTCTTTTGATGATCTCTTGCCGAGCTCTTTCACACAGTTTCTTACGTTGGAACATACGTCAGCCGCACTGATCTGCAGAACTTGTTGGTCCTGAGACTTCTGGGCGAATTATCCGCCCCAGCTGCCCGTACAAAGTGGGCACAAAGTACCATGCTAGGAGATATTTCTGTTTCACCATGTTTCAGAAGAAGCCCGGAGGAGGCGGCTTGCGGTCGATTCGGATCTTATCTTGGTTCCCTGTTGTGCTGCTGTATGACCAGTCCTGTCACCCCTGCGAGCTTTCAAGGCTTATATAACGGCGAGCACAGAGCAATCAATGTGTGTGTACGTCTCTCTCAAGTTGCATTCTCATCTAACGTCCCTCTTTCCTCTTCCTGCTTGGGCGGAACAAAAACAAACCACTCAACCCGGTAGGTACTGTGACTCTGCACACTGAATCGCAATGCGTGTTGTGTCTTCTCTCGCTTGATACATGTCTTCTCTTCTGTAGTGGAAAAAGAGCTGCAAAGTAAAGTCTGCTGTACAAGATTCCAGGCAGAACAGAACCATTTCACTTTTCCACCTTGTCTGGACGCAAAGCTATAAGTAAGGATCTCAGGTTTGTCGCGATTTGGTCCATCGCGTCTGAACCGCACTTCTTCCGCAACTACTCCGCATGTGGTTGAAGTTCCTGCGGCTTCTTATCCTGGCTGCTTAGATGTGAAGTTCTTCAGAATACTGCATGTCATGTCCTGATCTTAAACAGGAATGTCAGTGCCGTTGCATTCTTCATGCAAAATATATGCCATCAATACTCCAAAGAACACCAAAGCGACACCATTTCGAGATCCCCCTGTCATCGGGTGAACAGCACCGATCCCACCAGCCCATGTTTAAACTAGAGGAACGGTCCACGGTCAGCACGCGGGAAAGGGTGTTGAGACAAGAAGGTGTGTGGTGAATTCGTCAACAGAACCAAGCGTCTCTTGATTTCAGGCTTGAGTTTGATTGTAACACGTGTAAACATGTCCAATGAGTTTAACCTAAACATGTAGAGCATGTTCAAAAAAGTCTTCTGGCGTGCTTGTTGAATTCCGAATTCGCACTTGTCTCAGCTGACATCCTCTGCCAATCCTGGTTGCGGATGTTTTGCTGATTCCCTTTACAACATTTTACAACAGCTAACGCCAGAGTGCCATTGGGTTGCATCCTAGATAGTAAATAGCATGCCAGTCATCAAAGCTGTAGGAATCATGCCTGCTTCAGGGTTCCCACCTCGGTGGTTCATTCAAATGTTCAATTTTGGTTGCCATAGACTAGTCAATGTCAAGCAAACCCTGAAAGCGTCAGGAGTGGCACTGCATTGAAGTCAACTGACTATAGTTTGACTAGCTTACAAGTTCCCTTGCAAGTTGACCGGAAAACTGTTCCCCTACCACGGGCGTCAAACTCTGGGTAGTTGTTTCATGTGTCACAATTCAGCAATACCCCTACCAACAGCTTTCAGTCTTTCTTCATTTCTGCCACGTGATTGGGTCATGTCCGCAAAAAGAAAGAAGCTCTTCCTTCCGAAGTCCGAACTTGTCAGAAGGGGCATCTGAAACGAAAGCATCTGTAGGAGAACACACATTGAAACACTGCCTGGTGAGATTTCTTGAACCCCATAGACTGAAGTGTCCCGTGAAACTTCGGGTCCAAAGTCAGCTCCACTGAGAGCTTGGCACCCGGATCGCACTGTGCGATTCCAGCGAAGTCCAGCGAGTGGGGATTGGAAGGACACCTGAAAACAAGGACAGGGCCGGACGACAGCAGCAAACAGCCCGAAGAATGTCACTCAAGCAACCGAGAATCAAGTATGAACTGAGCGACTGATCCTTTGCCACGCCAAAAACACTAACAACTCACCGTGCGCTGACAGACTGTCTCCGAGCAATCTACAGCTGCTGACAAAACGTGTACATGCAAAACAAAATGCCCATCAAATGATTGCAAAGGCACCTAAACTCTGAGGCAACAATCACATTGCCTCGCGTCAGTGTTGGAAGAAGTTGTGGAGTCAGTCTGGGTTGTCTAGACGACCTGGAACTTCGTGTGTCCTTTTTGAAACATCAAGCCAAATGTAGTCTTCCCAAGGCATGTTAACTTCCATCAAACTCTTGCTTTCAAAAGTTGCTTCAAACTTATGATTTGAACCCTCGAGGCCATTCTCTGGCTTCCTCACGTCATGGCCTGTAGTATTTAAAGAACCAAGCAACCACCTGAGATCACCTTGACAGTCCTGAAAACTGACTACTTCGCCGACCAAAGGTGCCTGTTTGGGGCTAGGAGTGCCCACAACCATGACAGGCACCGCAGGCCCACTAAATTTGGGATCCAGATCGTTCTCCACCTCTGGCCGTTCCGGCACCACTTGTGGAGAGACCGGCTGGTGCATCGGCCTCGAGCGCTGTCGACACGTGCGGTCTACACGTGCAGTCTACACGTGACATGTCGGACCCATGCAACGCGGGTTCTGAAAGCATCTCTCGTTTTTGGTCTTGAAGAGTCATACTGAGACTCTCGTACCACCTTTTACTTTCGCTTCAGTTTCGCCCCACTCCCCACTCGCTGAAGGTGCCTGCAGCATTGACAGCAAACGCAGCACCCCAAGCTGGCTGCTACAATGCCCACGACACATGCGGCCCAGCCAAAAGCACCAATGTACACCTCACACATTCCAGCTCGGATCATCCTGTTCACCTCAACTACTAAATATCCAAAAACGCTTCTTCATACCACCAAGGCACAACAATGAAGCCCAAAGCATGGCACACTTGGGAGAGCTCTTCCTAGCCAATGAAAACCAAACCCTGTAGCGCACTCTCGCACAAACTTCTTACATCTTGACTGCATGATCCAACAATCTCACTCCTCCTCTTGTGAGGTGCACTCATAGCCACTACATCGATCGCTGCAGACCGTCTGGACAAATGGCCCACAAGCGCTTAAGGACCCTAACCTCAGACCATGCGAGGATCATGCAGATTGAAACCCCCACCATCGAAATGATCGTGTGAATTCATCTACTGAAACGGCAAAGACAGCTATGAAAGTGTGTTTCACCCACAAGCTAGAGTTCCAACCAGCAACTATTTCCTGGGCTTCTCCAGGCCCATGACTATGGTGTACTGGCTCCAGAAATCATGCCTACACTATACTGTAATTGAAAACGTCTCAAACAACAAGTATTGCCTTGGCTAAGAAGTTGAGAGGTCTTGGAGATGATGCACATTCAAAAGTCATGTTGAACTGTTGAACAAGGTCAGTCGTGCTTGCAATAAAAATGAACTTCAGAGTGAAATTGACGTAATTGACGCGTGCTGCACAGGCAAAACACGCAAAACAATTGTGTGTGTGTGACTACATATGGTATGCTGACAACTACCCTGACATTGGATGGTCTTCAAAATGGCTAATCATGCACCCACTTTCATCCGGTTCCTTTTCACGAGCAAAGTTTAATGGGCATTGATTCTTTCGTGCTGACTTTTCTCTTGCCAGCGAAGTCTGTTTTCGCTTTGCTGTTTTGCTTGTCACATGAATGCAGCTGCACATCCAGGTCATACAGCTGAAGCGTGGGCATTGAGATGAGCAGGCCCCAAAGCAAGTGACTGCTGCTTATGGGACACGGTGCTGCTTTTCCAGAAGTCGGGAGGCAAACTTCAAAGGCCAACCGGCTGGAGGACCACGGTTTTGATCGAGTTTATGACCGCTGTGAATGTGTCAACCTTTGTTGCGCTGATCCAAAGCTCAAAGGCAAGAGTAGATGCAGGCTCGCTAGATCTGCGACAAACCGAAGGTTTTGCCTCCGCACATCGCCACACATTGTACAAATAGGAGCAAGGACGCTACGAACGGGGCTCCTGGGCTTACTGTACTACTAATTGCATCACAGTCACAGAGGCACCACCAAAGTTAAAATGCCTAAGCTGATTGTGATGGTGGAGATCACCTGCAGGTGCTGGTCGACTGGTGGACAGGCAAGTAGGGGGAATGCCCATGTCAATCAATCTGTCTGAAAAGAATCACTTGAGTAATATGACTCACCTGTGCCTACGCCCATGTAAGCCAAAAGGATGCACATGTTATCTCGAATTGTTTCATGCTCTCCGCGTTCGCTCCATTCGCTCCATTTATTGCTGCGAAAACGGAACCATCTGGCCTTGCTGTGCTCCTTCAAGACACCACAACAGAGTGGCAAGGAGGCCAAGATGCAAAGCAAAAGCCCGAGCAAAACACCACCAAAGGAGCCAGCGTACAAGGAAGCCGTGAAGGCGGCCTTGATCTGAAGAAAATATTGACAGGAATCTTGGGATTTATGTGTATGTGTCGTTATGTGTCTATGTAATTCCATGTATGCATATAGAGAACGTGATGCTTAAGTTGCAAACGGAACTTTGGTCCTCCATCTATCAAGCCTGGCTCAACAAATTCTGGTGAATGCCCACGCTGATGTTCCTCTAAGCACGTAGTCTGAAATGGTCGTGTTCCGAATGCTTTGGGCCAGAAATGTTAAAGTTTTTGCATGTGGGAGGCCTGAAGTTGATTAAAACTTCACACTGCGATCCCGCACTTCATCGAATTGGCCCGTCTGTGTACATGCAGCTGCGGCTTGCGCCAGCAAAAGCCAGCAAATCCGCATGAACAGCGCGGCACCCACCCCACGAGTGAAAGAGCCGGCAGCTGCTACCTCGACAGGTTGACTGCTTTAGAGATGGCAGTCATGAATTGTCAATCATAGACTCACATTTCTGAAACTACCAACCAACCGCCGAATAGAAAAGATGTAATTCTTCAATTGAAGCATCTGCTACTCTGACCGAATCCCTGGTCGATGCCAGCCTGCC